TGGTCCGAGCGGCTCACGACCGCCTTCAGGATCACTGTCATCTGCAGCAGCTCCCAATACGCCCACAGCTGCGACGCGTTTGGCGCCTGCTCCGACCATGGCACCTGCTCCAGCAGCGCCTTCAGCGCCTTCACTGGCAGTGGCCGCGTTTGGAGAAATGCCCCCTGTCCGGACCGCGTTTGCGCCAGCTTTCTTGTGATGAATTCCTTGAGTTATTTTCTGTTGGATTTGACAGTTCCTTGGTCACGCCATCTAATGCTCAAGGTGGAGCTTTTGAAGGAAAAGCAGCCTGTCGGATATCCAATTCCAGCCATTTGTCGCCTAGTCTATTTCAAAGATGGATTCTTGACTCGTGTGTCCTGCAGGACAGATTTGGATACCATTGCTGCGCAGCACCCCCAGATGATGGACGTGCTGCGGCGGAGATTTGCCAGATTCCTAGAAGTCGTATGAAAGATATCAAAGGGAAGAGACACATATCTCACATATCACATGAACATGTAGACTCTTGATTAATAAACCTCCCGTTTGGATTGTAAAACATTGCAAAAACCTCTTCAAATGGGCGTTCTATTATAGGTTTCATGAATCAAGAGTCCACAGTACATCATCTGAGGAGCAGACGCAACGGCTGAAAGAGCTTTGGGCCACTTGGAGAGATTGGTGTAGCTTATGGGCCTAGACGAATGGCGGACCTGTCAGGCTTCAAGACAACCACAACCGATGTCTGAGAAACAAGGATTTGGACAAGGTATGTGAGCAATTTCCAGAAGAGGTCTGTGAGCAATCCTTTCTATTTGTCCGTCAGATCGCTTTCTGACCCAAGCGATCTCAAGAGGTTTTCGTTCAACTTTCCTCTTCACAGTCACAAAAACTATCCACCCAAGAAATCCCAAAGCTAAACCATGCTAAACCCTCCAGTTTCTGATGGTTTCTGAGATTCCCTGACTGAATCCTGCTGCTGAGGCTCAAGGGGACTTGGCCGGCATCAGCGGCATTCTCACCATGCCTCAGGCAGAATGGGAGTCCTCTCAGAATGAACACGTAGTGCTGTGGCACCGTTTGGTGGAGGCCCGCAGTTTCTAGAGGACACTGGGTCTTCCATGGATCTGCTTCCACTTCATTTCTTGGGAGGCCAGGAGTTTTCTTATTCACCCTTCGCACGGACGGCGCATCTATATCAAATCCTAGGGCGGCCAGGAACAGTGTGAAGATATGGGTTTGTGTCAAGATATATTTTAAGACCTACTAGTAGCTTCTTGTTACTAGTAGCTACTTGCTCCTAGTAGTACGGCCAGGAGCCCCTAGTAGCGTCCTTGCTCCTAGTAGCGAACCTTATATATATATATATTATATATAGGGGGTTCCAGAGGGCCTCCCCGGAGAGATGGGCCCCCACTGGGAGAAGCAAATGGTTGCCACATGAGTGTTGAGATGAAATCAAGGGCTGGTTGCCTCTGCTTAGGACCAGGCGGTGCTTTGTGATCTGGCGCGGTCATTGATGCCGGGTGTCCTAGCCTACACAAAGACGTATTCACGAGACTGAGTCCAAATCTGATTAAACAAGCAAGGGCCGCCTTTTTATCAAACAGTTTTAGGAGGTTTTGGACCAGCATCTTGCAAACATTTCTGTGTGTTCAAAGATCACGACCAAGGGACAACCTCACAGTCAGGTATCTGGCGGAAAGTTGAAAGTCTTATATTAATTCTTCTGACATTCTTCTGGTTAACAAGTATATCAAAGAGGATGACTGTCCTGCAATCTGGTTTACTTGTGGATGGTCAGATGGGGAGTAAGACGTGAAGACTTCACGCACTCATGTCATTCAGTACTAGAAGTGAGATTTGGAACACAAGATGATGCCAGGAAGGGCTTGGGCTCAGAGCTGAACTTGGATGCGCCTTGGCCAGATCCAGACATCCAGGCTTCATGAGGGCTTAAGGGTCAGGCAGTGTGTTTGCAAGATTTTCCTAGTTTTGATATCCTCAAAGACACCACGGGCCCACTGGAAGTAAATGGTGTGAGGGAGGTCCTACAGTTCCATAGCAGCATGGAATGACACTTCCACTTCAAGAAGTGCCTACCATCAGTTGCGCAGCTTGGAGACCACTTGGGACTACTAAGCTCACACATTTAGCAGCCACAGCATGGAACTACCTGGGGGTCCGCTGGGTCAAGTGGAACAAACTGAGGCTTGCTCTGCATTTCTGCCACTGCTCAAGGCGGTGTCACGGCCGTGTCAGTGGTCACTGTTCCCTACAAGTTGAGGGCTATGTAAGCATAACTGTCTCGAAAAAGGCAAGGTTTTTGCTATCATACAGGATATATAGAGTGAGCCACGTGACACATTCCCTGGGCGGGTCAGTCCGCTGCTTTCTTCTCCAAGGCTTGATTGGGTAGGAGAGATTGGAGCGTTCAGGAGCTCTTGCTCACCAGCAAGTACGAGGACTTCATTGCTGGGCAGCCAAGCCTTTTGACGAAAGAAACAAGACAGATTGAGAGTGTGAAAGTGACTACTTTTCCCAGTATTTTGCACACCCAACAGTGAATGTGAGTCTTGAAGCAGAGATTTACCCACAATTTTTCCAGCAAGGATCTCAAGCTCGCTCTTGCACTCCCCCTTCCCCTGAAAATGACCAAACATGGAACCCCTGAAGGCTCTTCTTGACCGGGTTTGGTGCTGGATTGGGAGCATGACTTGACGGACCGCACAGACCAGGCCACAGCTTTGGAGTTCACGCAGCTGCTGCTGGAAGAGTTTGGGCATCTCATTGGGGAGCCCAAGACTTGGAGAGAGAGAGAGAGAGAGTGAGAGAGAGAGAGAGAGACAGAGACAGAGATAGAGAGAAGGAGATGGAGATGGTGAGGGAGAGGGATTTGGGCATGTCTCGAGTTTTGTAGGGACCCTACGACACTTCGCGACACTTGCCGACATATTCAAGTGTTTTCGCTTGCATACTTTTTTCTTGGGAATAGCCGGGATAGCTATGGATAGCTGAAGGCTGAAGCCCGGTTTGGAGTCAACGACTTGGAACTCCTTCTATTGACAAGAGATTGAATCAAGTTTGGATCTCCACTTCGATCACTTTTGACTCTCCGTTTCTTTGAGAGTTGAGGACCCGTGAGAGCTGCTCGAAAATCCTAGAGTCGGGAGGCCTCAGGAAAGCCATGGGTGCATTGGTTGGATAGAACAAAAGGTGAAAGTCACCGCAACATCAGCAACATCGAAATTTTCCTATTTGTCCAGCAGTATTCATCAGCTCGGAGGGATTTGAGATTTTCTCCCACTTGGACGGGCCTTCTATGCTTAGGCGGCAGCTGGACCTTGCTCGGGAACAACGCTTCCGGAAGTGCAATGCGTGCTTGGCCGAGAATCCGAAAGCAGCAACTTTTTCCTTTTTGATCTTAGTCTGGTGGCAAAACGTGCTCTTGGCTTCACCTTCAATACCTCGAGGTGAAGGACGTACCCCCATTGGTCATGTTTTCGACCTTTTCATGGCTCTTCAGGTGGAATGCAAATCACACACACACACACTTGATTTAATCTCACATGTCTGGTTTTGGACGCGGCCAAGGTGTTACGAGAACTTCAAAGAAATCCACCGACTCCTCGTAGCAGGCGAGTTCTCGAACCACCTGGTGCGGGCGAGTTTCTCCAAAAAACGTAAGTGTTTTTCTTTAAATCGCTGGAAGTCAGAGTCACGGGCATGAGCGCCTTTTGCCACCGGTCACCGTGAGGCCAAAACAGCAGTCGCTTCAGCAAGTTATGCAGCAACCTGGAGGCACCCCTAGCCAATGCGGGTCACATGCGTTTGTCGGGCACCAACGGTGGGCTTTCTGAAAAGTGTCAGAAAATGAACGTCACACACACTGTTGGTGAAGCTCATGAAGTGTCCACCTCCGATTTGAGTTTCCCACGTGGGTTCAGGCCTTCCTTCGGCGCGGTGAGCGGCTAGGGCCCTGAAACTCCGGAATCTCGAAGAGTTCCCCGGCTCAACAAGAGGAAGAAAAGCCGACATCCCTGGTTCATTTGGTTCACTTTGGGGGGGTCTACCAGGAATGGAGTCAATAGACACGCCCTTTGTCTCACGTGCAAATCTACTTTCCAAATCACAAAGGATGCAAGGGGAAACGTTCATTGTTTCACTTGCGAGGTGGATAAGTTTCAAAGCTTTGTGCTGGAAATACACAGTAGAATCATAGCTTCTGCCATTGTAGTTGTGTGGTGACATGATTGCCAATTTGCGAGATTCCAAGTAACTTGAGGGCCCACTACTGAGGTACCACTTTCCAAACAGGTCAACATGGTCCTTCATTTGTGTTCCTTCATGATTTATGATGTGTTTTGACGTCTTCATCACTCGAATGCAGATGCCACGACTTCTGGATTCTGGGCGCTGTTTGTGGGATCGAGCAAGTGGAGGGAGCAAAAGATCTCCCGTGAATCCACTGCTGCTGTGCATGTGCCTGCTGCCTTCCTGCAGCATTCGTGCACAGAAATGGGCTGCAAGTTGCAAGCATGGACTCGTGTACTCTTTGCCGCTTGTTTGTCAGGACTACTTTTGCTCGCACTAATGAGTGGTTCCTAGATTTTTGGGAAACCTAAAGCGATGACACTGAGAAGAGCTTGGTCCCAAATTCTCCCGGTCACATGATGCTGAAGGCATAATGCTGAAGGATGCTGAAGGCATGGTTAATTTCTACACTCCTGACTGTCTATCAAGTACAAGCGTGCTTTTGTGTCAACTGATCATTTTCACAGCTAGATAAGATACGCAGATCGCGTCATTTACACGCGTAACCCGTTCTGGCTCTTCTCCTCAAGCACAACAGTGCTGACCAGCTTTAGTTCCAATGTCGCAGATAGGAGAAAACAGCCAAGCGTCGCAGCGTCGCGTCACCATTTGGGAATGCAACAAATCACAACGACATTCGATCAGGATGGGGCATGGATATTGAACTGCGTTTGAAACCGCTCCCAACAAGCAGCTCTTCGACGTGAACAATTCCAGTTGGGCGGCTTTGAGCTCATTTGCTCCACCGGCCATGGCGATGTGTGCTGCACTTGGGATCCAGTTGGGAGTGCTGGTGTTCAGTTGGAAATCCTAAGGTCAAGTCATGGGCTACAGCGGCTACGGAACGCCAGTGAGGCGTGCCCAAGGTGTAAAGCAGGCAAGAATGAAGAAGTTCTTAATCCTCAGCTCTTGCCACCAGCTAGGAGGCCGAGTCGGACCTAGCAGAGCACCAAGTGTGTGTTTTTCAGAGCACAATGAACATGTTCAAAGCATCTCTCATTCGGCTTGGGCATGTATAAAAAGCACAAGATGCGCTGCTTGTGGGCAGATGTATGCTGCAGATGTGTTTATGGGTAGATCATGCCACTTGATACAGGGTTCTTGGTATGGTCAGTCTGCAAATGTTATTTGTCGACAAGATGCAGGCAATCCACTATGCTGACCATGCCGCAGGCTGCCACGGTGAGCAGGTAGGGGCCAAGTTGTGGTTGATTCGCCGCACACAGTGGGAAGCGCTTGCATGCTGTTTTTTTGCTTCCGGAACGTCGATAGTTAGCTTTTTAAGTACAATTTGCCAGCGACCACACAAACCTTGCACTCTCCTGGCTAGTACCAGCGAAGTGGCTACAAGGGTCGTGGCATCGTGGCACTACTGCAAGTGGCATCATGACTACCTACTAGTGATGGCCTCCAACCTAGAAGCGTCTTTCGTTGATGACTGAACATGGGGTGGTTGTTCTGTGGCATAGTTCACTCCACGTCTCTTTGGCCCAGTTTGCAGAGTGTGCCTGGAGTACCTCCGGTACAACTGGCGTCCTGCGGCCGAGTTCTTCTCTCCGCACCGGTGGCCATTTCAGAGCTCCGAGCTCGGAGCGGCGACAGCTCAGGCCATTTCCAAGTGGATGCTTGGAGGCTGGACCCCTGGGCTGGATGCTTTCCTGGCAGCTGATCAGCATCGCACTTTGAGCTTGGGAGAAAGCAGAATAAAGCAGATAGGCAAGAGCTGGCTGCTTCAGAAGCAGCTCCAGAGCGAACACATGGAGTCCAAACAAGCATCTCCGATTCCGCACCTGAAGACTGGCGCTAAAACGCGCCTCCAGGCCACCAGATCTTTCAGCCTGGATCTCAATGGATTTTCACCCCCTAGTAGGCAACCTCTCTGGTGACTGCCAACTCCGATTTGCTGTAACAAAACTCTGCTTGCGCGCTACATATGATCTTGAATACGCTTTTGATCGCTTTTGTATTTTTTCAACTAGACCCCTTTTGACCAATATTTTGTGGCGCTAACACTAGCACCACTCCCAGTGGTTGCTCATTGCTACAATCAGTTGGCCACCTCAGGCGCTGATTTTATGAGCCTCAACCCAATCTCCATATCAGGCCCTCGAGCAGCTCCTGCTCCTATGGGTGCTCGCCAGGTGCTCTTCAATGGTTTGCACCAAAGATGCTTCTCCCCAAGCTTGTCCGAACCAAATGGTTGTTTGCAATACACTTTCAATGTTCAGACTGTTGTGGTTTTGAGAATGCTTTCTCATTCTCGAGCCTCTATGTTTCCTTTCGATGCAGCGTGGATTCCAAAGGACTATCCTGAAAACGCTGTCTTGATTCTTGATGCTTTAGCTTGACCACTGAACGTGTTTTACCTGGCAAATCTGTGAACGTGACACCGGAAGCCAAATTTCAGCTTTCCACTGTCATGGGATCTCGACTTGATGTGCAGGTGATGCAGATGCCAGTGAGGCAATGCTCTACCGCAAGCTTAGGCAGCGGCAAGGCCACGCCAAACTTGAGTGGAGTTGTTGAAACATACTTAGCGTTGTAATACGTTATATATATATCTATAAGATGCTTTTGTCATCTATTGTCGAAGCCCTGGTCTTATGGGTGTGGCTACCCAAGCAAACAATAAGAATCGGACCGTTGAAGATCGCAGAATGTTGTTCAAAACAAATCCTAATCTTAGCATTTTATACAAAAAATACAATAAACTTGTAATAAAAAAGAACAACATCCATAAATATAAATATAGCTTCTTGGATCTCTCAGCGGTCACTTCTTCTGAAGACCTGCCACACCGCGTTGGCGTGTAGGTCACAGGCCCCAACACGCCAATCCACACGGGTCGAGGTTTGCGACCGGCAGTGGGGAGACTCAGTAAGAAAGGAACAAGGGAGGAAAACAAGGTAAGCAAGAGCGATAGCCTCCAACCTAAGAGCGAGTAAGGTAAGGCATCCTTCAACTTAGGTCCTTCTTATTCAAGAGGCCTGCAGCGGCCCAAAAGCCTGCCTTTTTTCCGGTGTCATGGATGATCCCGACAAAGAAGCTTCGTTGGTTGTCCGATCTCAGAGGGGACCTGATGGGATGCTCACTGCAAATTCAGGATTCTGTAGCGTCCTTGCTCCTAGTAGCGATGCCAGGAGCCCCTAGTGGCTTCTTGTTCCTAGTAGGCCAGGAGCCCCTAGTAGCGTCCTTTGCACCTTACCTCGGGATTTCTGGAAAAATACGATTCTTAGCTCATCCGAACTGTCTCCCAGGGGGTCGCGCCGCCTCCAGCACCACCTTTGTTGGCTGCACAGGTGCCGGACGATCCACGATCCGCACGCCGATTCTCCATTCGTTAGAAGATTTTAGAAGCTGAGAGATGAAACAGTCTCCCTATTTAAGAGGTCAATCTTTTTTGCCTTCATTGTTCGATTTCTTAGCTTTAGGCTACTTGGAGGTAGCTGCGTTTGTAAGGCCCTGGAGATTGACCACCTGAAAAAGGAGCTCGAGGACGGGCAGTCGGACGAGAGTCTTTTGACGTTCTGAGGATGGCAGCTTTTGGATGCTTTTGGAGGGAAGAATTCGGAAGGATGGCAGGCATCGTTTGTGACATTTCCAGCAAGCCGAAGTTTTCTTTTGCCAGGGTAGGCCGCTAGAAGAGGACAAAGAGGTAGCTATAGCTAGTAGCCATTCAGTAGGACGCTTCGTCTAGGTAGGACGCAGAATCGCAGGATGGCTCATGCTTCTTCAAGGAAGCTCTCCCCACCTGAGGGCGGGGGGGAGCTTCCTTGAAGAAGCGCTCGCATTAATGATTGGGGTCCTAAATTTTTAGGGAATCTTTGCATGTCACGCTCTGTCCAGGAGTCGCGATCCAATGAAAGGCGCTTGCAAGAGGAGCTGGAGGCACGACAAGACCCAACAGGACAAGCATTGAAATGCATAGCCAATCATGATGTGCAACAAGAACAATTTCTCTGAAAGAAGGTGCAAGCTTTGGAACACCTGCCAAGGAAACATTCCTTCACTTTAAAACCCGTCATGTAAAATATATAGGAGTAAACAAAGACACACACACAGTTAATTTACGTCCAAAGCTTTTTGCACCAGCCGGCCATGCACGGAATCCAGCAACTGACAGAGAGAGAAACGTAGAGACACCCACAGAGCCAATCGATGGTGCTGCTATTGTTCTTCACTTTGAGCTTGTTAGCTCATGAACCTCCATGGAGCTTGTCCAGCACGCGTAGAAGGGGTGCGAGCAAATGGCCTAGACTCAGCAAAAAGGTACCGTGCAGAAAACGCGACAAACAAACCACCGAAAAAAGGTGGATTTTGGAGTCACAAAAGGGCTGACTCCAGATTTTAGCCTTCTCAAGCCCTTGTCCTAGAAGCGTTTTGTCTAGCGCATATCGAGATTCAAGCTATTTGGTTGGGCTGCCTCACATGTCCACAACTGTCCGATTGGTTTCCATCTGGATTTAACCAGTCGACAATGCGTCCACACAAATAGCTGAAATCTGAATGTGAGCTGCCATGTGCACCTACCATAGTCATACTACATCTAGAGTTCATGCCATAGAGCAGCAAACTTAACATAGCCAAGCTCCAAAGTTACAACAACTCATTGCTGTCACAGACCCACTCTGAAGTCAAGCCCCTGAGTACTCAACCTCACAAGCAATAAAGACAAAATCCAGATTACGACTCTTGCAAGAACCTGGCAGAGGAAAGGAAGGGCCGAACCTAGATTTTATCAGACGAAGGTGCAACACCGGCAAGTCCGAATGGCTGGAATCTGGAGTTAAGCTATCAATTTTTAAAGCCAAATTCTGAAAAAAAGGAACAGACACAGATTCAATAATCTGTGGCGGTACAGTATATCATCCATGCCAAAAGCAGCTTCAGCCCAAGCGGCTTGTTTTGGAGGCAGCCAAGGCCGAGGTCCAGCGCCTAGCAGAGGCCTTGGAGCAGGAGAGCCACCGATAATAACAATTAACGTGGAGTCAGAGTCCATACAAAAAGACAACATGCTTTATATAACCCACAGACCCCCTGAAACAGGAAGCCAATGCGAAGACTCTCCGAAATATAATTTAAGCAATTTTGACAACTATTATGAATATAACATTAAATGCCGATCATTTTCTCACTTGGTCGAAGAACTCCATCGCCAGTCGCGGGGGCAAGGGATATGATAGGATCGGGTGTTGGGGCGGTTGGGGGGTTTGTCCCTACCTCCTGTGTTTGCTCTCGATCGGATGGTGTTCTGGATCTCAAATGTCCGTCAACAGTGCTGCTGGTAATTCTGCAAGGTTTTGTTCGGAGCTCTCCATGTTTTCATCGCCTTTTCGTGCTGCGGCTGAGCGCTGAAAGAACAACGACCTCCTTGGCGTTTCAGGCAAACAAGACCAACTGATCTCAGGCTGACCCCCAAGACTCCAGAAAACTCCACCCAGGTCACGGACTGATCGCTTCCGTCGTCGACTCGTCGACTCAACGGTTGACAGTGCGTCAGACTTCGTAGGAAGCTCCTTGGCATTACTACTAGGAACAAGGACGCTACTAGTAACAAAGGGCATTTCTATTAGGAGCAAGGGCGCTAGGGCGTGCCAGACTTCTGGATGAAACAAAACAGTGGAGCACCACTACACAGAAACTACAGACCCACATGAGTGGATAATTACGCATGATGGACACGTCTTTCGCTATTGATACCGGAGAGTATGAGAAATACCACCAGAATCATGGGACTAGGCCTTGAGGATCCACATTGATGACATATCCTGAGAATTCCTGGACACGGTTCGGTGGGAGTCAAGGACCAAACCTCAGGTTCGCTGAGTTCGATGCAACGACTTTTGGGGCCTGAACTGACGTTCAACCAGAGGGGGGTTCGATGCTTAGACGTTCATCGCTCGAACAGGAGAAACAACTCCGAATGGAAATGGATGTGCCGCGTGAGGCTGGTGCTTTCATGAGCCGCGATGCCCTTTGCTCCTAGTAAGTAGCGAACATTGCTCCTACTAGTAAGGCCAGGAGCCCCTAGTCGCGTCCTTGCTCCTAGTAGTAATGCCAGGAACCCCTAGTAGCTTCTTGCTACTACTTTTGGTGATTTTTGGTTCGGCTTTGGAGGATTTGGACGTACGCATTGGTGCGCCTAGGGAAGTCGACGCACTACACTTTTTCGATTGTGTGTTCTACAGGTGTTCTACATTTTATGTTTCCGCATCGACTGTGGCACCAACCTCCATCTCCCCAAGCTCGATCAACATCATGAAACCTCTCATATCACCACATTGACATTTGTGCTTGTTTGGTGAATGATAATATAGAAACACTGTGCACTCAGTGCACTCCAAAAAGCCTTTTGCCATCAAACTGTGCAGCTTGATGACAGCCATGACATCGAGAGAAGACCAGCCTCCTACCCAAAAAAAAGGTTGCAATCCATTTGTCTGACGCTCGAAGTGTCAGACATGTCGATGGTTGACCTACCAAATCAAGGTCCCGAAGGCCACGAAAGGAGGAGAGTCTGGGCAGCCCAGTGCCCTAAGGGTGAGCGAAGGAATCGGATAGATTTGTTCACGTCCTTTCCTGCAACTGGCATTTGCAACAAAAAGAATCGTAATGTGTCCGTTTCGATTACAATTGTTGTCCTTCCCGCCAACCTGTGAAAGTTAAAAACGGCAACGTTGTGATCCTGATGTTGACTTGCATTCCACAAAGCAGTTTGTTTGACACAACATACATATTACTTGATTTGGCAATCGTTGTGATTTCCATTGAGGCCAGTTCGCATGAAGTCAGCCTGTGGCCTCAGCACCTGAACAATGCTGAACCAAAGTTGCATCCTTGGGCAAAAGCAAACCAAAAGGACACATATCCCTTGCGAAGCGGAGTGGTTTGTGCTGGATTCCTGGGCGGCAGAGTATCCAAAAGCTATTCATCCAGACGCCTTCATCAGGTGATGCAACACCGAAACCTGTCAGAATCAACATAATTCCTAATTATCGCTTCCTCATTCCTCCCCCCAAAACACATGTCCTTCCTTGGAACAGCCTTTCTTCTTTGGTTTTGAGGATTCCTTGAAGCGGCGTGTGGCCGAGCATCTCGAATCAGAGCCGGACATCTTGAAAGCTCCGTGCGACTGGCCAAGTTGCGGAAGGAGTCACTCAGGGAGCTTGGTTTGGAAAACAAAGAATCTTAGAAGCTTGCAAAACAGGATAGGTTTCTCCTCCAACATCGGCGAAGCATTTTGTATAAACATGTATAAACTATAATGTAATATATAATAAGCATCTTAGTCTCTGATGATCCTGTGTCCGTCAGTCCGTCCATTTCGGCGCAAGATGGTGCAACTGCGTTTCCGTCGATCAAAAGGTTCAGAGGCGTTAGAAAGAACGGAGAACGAAGGCCTTTAAATGGAGAACGGAGATATCCCGGCCGCACCTCGCTGAACCACTGTCTTCTTTGGTCCAGCTATGAGCCAGAAAGAGCATTCTACCTGGACCCTGTTTTTGGAATTTGATTGGTGTGTCAGCTGGCCTTTAGTGGCCGGAAATAATTGAGCCTTTGGCCCAAAATACAGCGACGGCGGCAAAATGTCGATGCCGTTCTCTGAGATGGGTTTCAGCAGCTCATTGATCTTCAGTGCATTGACTTGAAACTGAATTTCCCAAACGAAAGCTACTCGTAACAAAGGGCATGGACGCCACTAGTAACAAAGGGCATTTCTATTAGGAGCAAGGATGCTAGGGCGTGCCAGACTTCTGGATGAAACAAAACAGTGGAGCACCACTACACAGAAACTACAGACCCACATGAGTGGATACGCATGATGGACACGTCTTTCGCTATTGATACCAGTCTTCTCCTGCCCTCTCTGCGTCCGCTCTTCAGCGTCCTTGCACCCTAGTGGCTTCTTGTTCTTAGTAAGGCCAGGAGCCCTGTTCGTAGCGTCTTTGCTCCTAGTAGCGATGCCAGGAGCCCCTAGTGGCTTCTTGTTCCTAGTAGTAAGGCACTTAGCACAGCAGATTATCTCAGCTCAGAGACTCCCCCGACAGGCCTTCACCCGAAGGTCAGAAAAAACCAGACCTTGGAATGTCTGGCAGGCTGAGCCAGCGAGCAGGTTTGAAGCGAGGAGCCTCCGAGAAGAAAAGCGACACCGACGACGCCAACATGTCAACACACATATTGTTGCACAAGTTTCAGTCACCCATTTCCCGTTTTTGTTGAAGTTGTGCACTTGATCTACAGTACCTATATCCCAGGCTTGTATACCTTTGTTGATGGGTCCAGTCCAAAGCTTTGTCTTCACCCGAGAGTCTAGAGTGGTCGAGCCAAGCAAACCACTGTAGGAATGTCTCCCATCATCCGACGGCCAAGCAGAGACGAGGCTCCAGATCGGGGTTCGAGTAGTTTGTCAGTGTTTGTCGTACAGACCGTCATCAAGCATGCAGGCAACTCTGTCAAATTCATTGAGCTGATTTGGAACAACTGCCGACTTGGGAAGTTAGGTGGAAGAGAAGCTCAGCGAATATTTGGCGACATCACCACATTGCAAGTTGGAGTTCTGTCGGTGTGGTGGCCCAAAAGATGGGGTTTGGGAAACATGTACATGTGGTCACGTTTTACACTTGCAATTGTATCATTCGTTACGGTATGACTTTGTATGATATACTTTATTTCCGTTTGTACCCTCTTTATTTACATGTATGTGTCAGGATTGTCCATAGGGTGCAGTGTGATGTAGGAGATGGTGTTGGAGTTGACGTTTCACACTGTTAATCAGATTGGGTTTGCTCATGTTTGCTCGCAACAGAGCCGCCGAAGCCATTTCCGGACCGATTCGGGACTGCTAAGGTGGTGATTGTTTTCCCAAGTTGTAAAGTCAGATGACACAAGCCTTGCAGGTCAGTAGAAGATTTGACTAGGACCTAGGATCAGGGACTCGCTCAGAGCCATGAAGCGTGCCTTTAGCTTGATCAGTGACAACATTGACGACACTTCTGACATTTGCTGCTCCACGTGGGTTGTGACATGACTTCTCACACCCCCAGCTCCCCATGGAATGGCACCTGCTTTTTGAACAGGAAGTGAACCATGAGTTGCAACATGAGCTATCATGAGCTATCATCTGCAGTGTCTGTGTGGACATGCCCACTTTGCATCCACACACAAAGAGGCTGCAAATGGGAATAAGATATACTTTACTTTGAGTTCTTAACATGAAGGTGGGTAAGGGTAGAGGGTTTCTGAACACTGCATGTCTCTCATAGACTCTTTTCTTGACCTGGGGGTGCCCAGTGAATCTGCGACCTCATAGAACTAAGGTTGAACCAGGGCTGGCTGCACGGGCCTGTTTGCTGCAAAGCTCAGGGAAAGAGTCAAAAGACTCAGGAAATTGCACTCCGTTGCTTAATCTGGAGACTGGAGACAATCAAACTGGAGTTTGGGGAGGGCTCTTTGGACTGTACACAGATCGTACACCACCTCTAAATCATCGAGTCTCAATCACTTTCGCGTCCGTGTTTCATATTATGGGTGACCATGTGTGCATTGCATTTGTCTAACTGGGGTAGACACGCTAAGCAAAGTGCATGTTCTTTTGGGCCTCACCATTTTGGGACACCACATGCACACAAAGCTGCCGCACAGGTACCAGTATCGGCATGCTACTGACAGCTCTGTGCCACAGAAGTGCATTGAGGAGGGGAGATTGGAATGCAATACTCAGATGTGTGAGAGACCTTAGGGCTGATCAACATCAGTCCGTTTGGTAGGTGGCGATTGGTGCTTTGAACGTAATTTGTGCATGCCATCCATAGTTGCTTGCAGTGAGCAAGATGAAGGTGAGGCCATAGTAGGATCATTTCATGAGATTTCGACTTGCCCAATGTGATTGTCCAAGAGACAGTATGAGTTTTGGCGCAGTCTGATCAATTTTCTGGAACCAATCGAAAATGACATGCAAGGGGGCGCTTCAACGACCACATTTGACTGCAAGAATATGTCAGTTCCACTGCCAGTTTGCCTTCACAAAGGATGTTTGCAATTGCCGATTTGTTCGAAGTGCACTTGTCTATAATACAGGAAACCGCGCAAAAAAAACCAGTCTGGAACAAGACCGAACCAACAAACATCCATGATGCAAGGAGTCCAAGGTCAACCCGTCCCCCTGAATTGTCGCAGATGTCCGTGGTCAATGGCAAGCTGATGGTGAAGCTGGAGCCGACCTCTCACGACCGCGGCTGGTTGGAGACCAAGTATGATTTTTCCTCAAAAGAAATACGAAGAAACGAAGGACGCTTCTAGGTTGGAGGCCAAAAGCAAGAATAAGAAGCCTTTTGAGGCGCCTTGAAGGAGGGCCTTATTTGAGGGGCCAGGTCCACCTTCTTTTCTGCTCTTTTCGTTGGAGGGTAGTGACATCACGCGGGACTGGTAGTTAGGCAGCGCAGTTATTTTCTTTTGCTGCAGTCATGAACATGGGCCTGGGTAAACCGTTTCCAATGCGACACCTCAAAGAGACAAACACCAGAGACCTGCTCCATACAAGTGGGTGACGTTGAAGATTTTGTTTTGGCTCTCAAGTTGATTTGCAAAGGTGCACTGGAAGGCATTTTTGAAATGAGGCTCCGGCCTCTTCAACATCCAAATTTCACAGGTGGAAACAACTTCTTAGATACACCCCTGCAGTGAATGCACACCATACCTGCTGTACTGGGATGTTCATCCTAGTTGCGATACAAGGGATTGGCATTTCCAAAGCAACTCCTCCAGCCCCGGCAGAGGGTACAACCAATTATTTCCATCAAAAAACAGCAAACAACAACTAGTGATTCATAGTGATTCTCTTCCATGTCACTGCATTATCCAAAGGAATGTTCCGATGGATCCTTCCTCAGTTTTGGTGAGTCCCTATAAATTCACTTCCGCACATCGCTGTGGTCGCGATGGAGCCATGGTCGCTCTGACACCTGGGGATGAGAGCGACGACATCGGCTATGGGCCATTGGGCAGAAAGGGGAAAGATCAGTCGAGCGACGCAGGATGTTCCTGATGCGCCAGCCACAAAGTGGAGACAAAGTAACAATGGTGATCTACTTGATGTGACATCGTTTAGAAACATGCACACTAGATTCATACTCTAAATATACTGTAATCCTGAAACGGATAGGATATGATTTTGTGCCCCTTCTTTAATATTGGTTTGGGCAAAGGGATATGTACTTCGGGAGTACATTGATTTCTTCATTGAAATGTAATCCCAGATCTATAGACTATCATAGAGAGAAGGAATACTTTGCAATCGCTTCCCCACAGAGGCCTCGAAGTGGTCCTGCTGTGACTGATTTCTGAAGCCAGTCCTTCCCTTTTTCATTTTTTTGTCCCACCCTGAGCGATCTCTTCGATCTGTGTCCCTTTTTCGGTGGCGGCGGGCGGCGGTTTGGTCCAACGAGGTGGTTTGGTCATGGACGAGCCATGAGAGGTGATATGAGGTGATTATGATCAACCCACCGTCCATTATAGTCATGGATAATATTGTGTTGTACCATATATATTATATATCTATGAATCTAATATATGTATCAATACATATATATAAATGGACCCTAAGAATCCCTAAGACACTATAGTTTGAGTTGTGTGTTTTCACCATAGTGCTGTTGTACTCACTCACAATTTGCATCGCGAGTCTCTTGATGTCAAGGCCACTTTTCAAAACACTCAATACGGTGTCCTCGGTGTTGTCCATCCTGGGCTGCTTGCTGGTGCGGCACCCCGGTTTCTTTCCTGCTACAAAGAATATGTTGAGTAGCAGTAGGACTTTTGAAACTTCAGAGAGTCATTGATCTATTTCTCTTGACAACACAACTGTTGAGCAAGCAGCCTGTGAGATTTAAATTGCTTATTTCGGGAAGTCAACAGGTATCCTAATCTTGTGCCCTTGGAGATTGGACACTCACTGCCATCAAAATCTTTGAGAGAAGGCGTTGGCATGGCACATTCATCCCAAATTGTTTCTTGCATCAGCAGAAGATGTTTGGCAGGGAACCAGAGAAAGGATTTTTTGGGGGAAAGACTAGAGGCCGACCTCCCAAAATGAACACAGAATTAGATGCTTGCGCATGTTCAGTGGAGGTACTTCTCGTGTCTCAGGGCAGGTGATCAGAACTAGCTGTCGTTTGTGTGGCAAATCTATTATTGCCTTGTGCAATTTAAGAGCAGGACAACAGGGCATTGGACATGCTTCCCCCCTGTTGCGACCAGACGTCACAAACACAAACTGCTCATCGCTTGCTCGTCAGGTCATCGGCGCATTTTTAGGCTTCCCAGCCTTGAGGCCAAGCTCCATTCCGAGTCTTGACATGTCTTAAACTCCAATTTGTTGATATATTTAAATTAATTACTTGTTTTTTTTTTTTTAAAATACTGTTATATATTACGAAATTCAACCTCTTTTTAAAAGCCGGCTCCTACTTAATTAAGTAGGCAAGCTACTAGTATGGACGCAAGACAGCTCATGCTTCTTCAAGGAAGCTCCCTCCGCCTGAGGGTGGGGTGAGCTTCCTTGAAGAAGCGCTCGCACTAATGATTTGGTTCCTAGACTTTTAGGAAACTTACTTTTAGAAATGAACATCGCACCAAGACATAAATGCTGCGGCCAACCACGTCCAGCAAGGTTTCGGGGTCCTGATAGATCCAGCTGGGGGTCAAAGGACGGATGTGTCACAACGGACCCCAAAGAGCGCTGAACGGAGGTTCCGGAATTTCTAATAGCTTCTTGTTACTACTAGTAAGGCCAGGAGCCCCTAGT